TACAATCTATTGTTTAAATATTTCCGAAACTTGCTCTAAATGAATGCTCAATATTGTTTTTTTTAGAAATTGTGAAATAAATTTTTGTTTTATATTTCAAAATTTGTGAAAATATTATAACAAAACTGAGTCTTAAATATTTGTATTTAATTTTTTTACAAAATTTCAAATTCAATATCAAAATTTCAAATTTCAAATTTGTGAAAATATTATAACAAAACTGAGTCTTAAAATCCTCCATTGATAAAAAATTTTAAACTATAGTGTTTTTAATTTTGAATTAAAATGATATTTTTTTTCTTTTTATTTTTGATATAGAATAGTTTATTAGGATTGGTTTAGATAAAATTTTAGTTGGATATTAAATCTTAGTTTTTCAATTCTCATTGGTTAACAACTTTTTAGAATTTTTTTTTAAATTTTCGTCCATAATTAATAAGAGAGAGATAGTGAGTTTAATTTTTTAGAAACTAATAATTACTTTAAAAAAATTTATTATTTTTTATTTAAATATATTATTTTGTGATTACTATTGTAACTTTAATGAATTTATTTAAAAACTAAAACCGATGACATTTTTGTAATACTTTACACTTTATAAGGTTATTTATGTTTGAGTGCTTCCCAATTAATAGTATAGATTTTTCTTTTTTTTTGGAGAAATTGTTAAAAATGCCCCTTTTTCAATACCCCTTTTCAAAAATGCCCCCTTTGAGAGTCCATTTTTAAGTTTGCCCTCTTTTATTTTTTAATGACCATTTTACCCTTATTTGAAACAAAATTAGGTCCACAAAATACAAAATATTTTTTGGCGGAAAAAGTGATCCCGCAATTTTCCCGCCAAAACACTTGTAAAAAACCTTTAAAATACCTTGTAAAATTTTTCCGTAAAAATTTTTCCCGCCAAAATTTTTTTTTTGCGGGAAAAGTGATTCCGCAATTTTTTTGGCGAAATTTTTTTGGCGGGAAAATTTTTGGCGGAAAAAATTTACAAGGTTTTTTAAAGGTTTTACAGAGTATTTACAAGTGTTTTGTAAGGTTTTACAATGTATTTTAAAAGATTTTACAAGGTACTTATAAGGTTTTATAAGGTATTTATAACTTGTAAAACCTTATAAAAAACTTGTAAAACCTTATAAAATTGCTTGTAAAATCTTATAATATCTTATAAATACCTTATAAATACGTTGTAAAACCTTTTAAAATACATTGTAAAACCTTATAAATACCCTGTAAAAAACCTTTAAAATACCTTGTAAATTTTTCCCGCCAAAAATTTTCCCGCCAAAAATTTAACGCCAAAAAAATTGCGGAATCACTTTTCCCGCAAAAAAAAATTTTTGGCGGGAAAATTTTTTGGCGGGAAAAAATTTTACGGGAAAATTTTACAAGGTATTTTAAAGGTTTTTATAAGTTTTTACAAGTGTTTTGGCGGGAAAAATTGCGGGATCACTTTTCCCGCCAAAAAATATTTTGTATTTTGTGGACCTAATTTTGTTATATTTCCTTATATATTTGTGATATATTTTATTAAAAGAAGGGTAATTTAGTCATTTTGTACATAAAAAGGGGTATTTTTAAAAATGGACAGCCAAAGGGGACATTTTTGAAAAGGGGTATTGAAAAAAGGGCATTTTTGTGAGTCTCCCTTTTTTTTTGTGAGTATTTAGACCAAAGATCAAAATTTACCAAAAATCACTGTAATTCTTTTTAACTAATGTAGATTCCTTAAATAAAATAAAAAATTCAAGAATTCTGAGATTAGTCTAATATCTACTCCAATTATTAAAGAAAAAAAACTCTTATTCTGCGCAATTGACGTAGCCACTACTAATCCATGAGAACAAGGCCCATACTTATCGTACATGGGCTTTAACTGTTTATTATTAAAAGCCCATCATATAGTTCATTGCAATTACTGTTAAAATGTTTGGCCCATTATCGCCGTCGGATTGTCTTCTCCGTTCGGCGATAAAAACCATTTCCTAAATCAGATATTCAATCTCGTTTTGATTTTCAATTCTTTGAAGTCTCGCTTAGAAGCTCTGTTGTGTGAAAAATGGAATCAATGGCTAGAAAGCCACTTTCTGAGAAAAAAAGTTCTAGTATGCCACCTTCGAATTTGTAATTTCATTTAACATTTTTTTAAAAATCAAAAGCTAAGGAAATGTCCAAAAGCCCTTTTAAGAGATCAACAATTACAAATCCAACCTAGAATTCATTATCTCAACAACCAAACACTTCTAATCGTCTCCAATTAATTCCCTCAAAAACTTCTCCACCACAACCATGTCTACTTCTCTCCGCACAACCATCGCTGCTTCTCGTCTCCTCCGCTCCTCCTCCTCTTCCAGATCCACACTCGCTCTCTCCGCTTCCTCTTCTCTCTCTTTCGTTGTCTCCGCTTCCTCTTCCCTCTTTTTCGCCAGATCTCTCGTCTCTTCTCCACTTCTCTATTCTTCATCTCTCAATCAGGTATGCCTCACTCTCTCTTCTAAATCTTATCCTTATTGTTTGATGCAGCTTGTGTGTTCTTTCTTTATGCTTATTGTTTGATGCAGATTCATGAGTCCATGTTTGGTTTAATGTGAAATCGAGCATAGATTCGTAACAAGTGGTATCAGAGCCTCAGGTTTTGAGGAAAGCTTTGAAGTTTGTGAAAGAAAACCAAGAAAGTTTCAAGTTTTAAGGAGAATAGTGCAGGCTTTTCTAAGAAAGCTTCAAGCTTTGTCAAGAAAATCGACGAGTAGAGTATTCTCGTGAAGAAGCTCAACAGTGAAGACGACTTCCATGTCGTAACGGAGAAATCGGAGGCGTCGTAAGCTGGAGGAAGGATTCAATAGTCCTGGATTTTTTTGGAGGTAGCAGTGATCTACTCAAGATTTGCTTCTATGGATTCTGGTTCTAGAAAAGGAATTGGAAGTAATAAGGAGGAGGAAGAAAGTTAGTGGTTCTTTAAGACACTGAAATTGAAAGAAGAAAGATTTAAAGGAAAAGCTTGAATCGGATCAGGTGATTCTCAGGTTTGTGGAATTGGAATCTTCTATGCAAGTTCTTTCAATGGCTCAAGACTCAAAGCATTGAAGACTGTTATTTTGCATCCGCTGCAAGTCACAAGGTATGGTGATGTTCTTGATTGTGTTCTGAAATCGTATGGTCTGCAATAGAAAGAAGTCAAGGTTTAGTGAAGTTCAAGTTTGTATGTTCATTGTGCACGGTTATAACCAATATTCAGTACTATGTGTTAGTGTGGATTTCTGGTGAATACAGTGTGATCATCCCCAAGAGACAGAGGCTTGAGCCGAGAGAGAGAGGTCGAGATTTACATCTCCAGGATTGCACATAACTTATGTTTTTGTATTTCATTTCTGTATTTTGTTGTCTTGTAGATTAAGAACATATGACTTCATGTTTTTGTAAACAAAAAAATATTTAGATTATATTTATGTTCAATTGGTTTTGTAGGTACAACTGGTCTATTTAGGTACAACTATGCGTATGAATTACATACAAGATTGTACAATAAGATCACTTAGGTACAACTAAGACAATAATAAAAAAAAAATATTAATATTGATATTAAAAAATATTAAAAATCTTACCAAAAAACTTTTTTAAATATAACCCACGTAAGCATGACTTTTGGCGGCGGAATATTAATAAATAATTGGAACATGTGATAATGTGGGCCAATGACAGCAGAATATTAATAAAAAAATTATTTATTTTAAACATAGTTGTACTAGTTGTACAGTTGTACTCCTATATTCATAGTTGGACTTTAGCGATTTTTGTGTATTTTCAGTTGAACTTTAATAGAAATTAGTAATTTATAGTTGGACACATGATGTTACACTATTAATTATCATTTAGGAGGTTTTCATAATACAATGTTCAAAAAAACTTGGTTTTTACGTCTTTTGCTTCATATGAGGCGATCATGTACTAAGTCTTCCTTATACTAGAAGGAGTGTTTTATGTGAAAAAATAAAATTTGTTACAAAATTTATAAATTCTGGTTGTATTGATTGTAAATACTTTATTTATATTTGAAGATGTATTTGGGGAATTACTTATAGAAATCTTAATTTATAACTTAATAATTTAATAAAATTAATACAAATTTGATGTACCTAGTTGAACTAGTTGAACTAATAGTATGTATTAGAAAAATGATAAATTCGAATTTTATTTATTTAAAATTGTTTTTTATAGTGCAAGATGTTTTTGAAATCTTTATTAACTCTAATTTATTGTTTTCATAATTGTTAAATACAAATACAGATACATTTATGGTCGTAGTTGTACCAAGTCGAACCTAGTTGTACGAATACGACAAATACATACACATAAAATCCGAACAGTGCTCTCGAGATTATAACATTTGGTTGCATTGTCATCTTCATGGTGAATTCATACGCTTTCTTCACTTGTCCAGCTCTAGCTAGTAAATCGACCACACAACCAAAATGTCAATTCTAGGCTCAATCTTATACTCTTCTCTCATTCTCCTGAAATACTAAAACCATTCCTTCAACATCCAACAATGGCTACATGCATATAAGATCCCCACAAACGTGATCTCACACGTTTATACGTTCTCTTTTGATTCCTTATTCCTGAAAAGCTCAATCGCTTAAGTGTTTTGGCTTCTTCGACTCTTCCACATCTGACATACAAGTTCAAGAGTACATTGTTGGAATGTAAGTTTCGTGTCAAACCTACTTTGATCATATATACATGAACTCTCTTACCCAATATCAAAGCACCAAGCTTTTCACAAGTAGACAACAAGCTAACGATTGTGAACCCATTCAGGAATAAGGAATCACAAGTAGACAACAAGCTAACGAATCGTTTGGTTTACCGTTTTCTGCAACACCATCAATCACAAAATTTCAAGCCAAAAAGATCTTTCTCAAGCATTTTATCAAACACCTTGTATGCATTAGCTACATCTCCACAATTGGCGTATAAATGAATCAGAGAGTTCTGAGCATATATCAACGAACCAAACCCACTTCTTATAACAATGGAATGAATCGTCTCTCCCATCTTAACATCTGCCATTTTTGTCATAATTTTTAGAAGAAACGGGTAAGTATGAATATCGGGCTCAAGCTCTCATATATGTATTTTTGTGTATGTATCTTCGACGATTTAAGGACTGAGATCGGAAGAAGATGATTTGAGATGAAGGAAGAAGTGAAGCTACGACGAAACAGAGAAAGAGGGAGAGAAGAATTTTTGGCATCGTCAACGAATTTGATTTTTTTTATTTATTTTCTTTTTCTTTTATTTGTTTGTGTTTTAGTTTTAGATAAATAAAATATATTAACAATATTCATTAAGGGTATAAAGGAGTTATCACAATGAGAGGTGGCATAGAGACTATAGAATGGCAGTCCTGATTCATTTTTCTGGTTTAGTGGCTTTCTAGCCTCTGACTCTGAAAAATGGGACTGTTAAGCATAATCCGGAAGATCAAGAAGAAAGAGAAGGAGATGCGTATTCTTATGGTGTATGTCAGATTCCAAAACTCGTAAATCTTCTCCGATCTAATCATACATTATGATGTTGTGCTGATTTTGGTTTTCTTTTTGGTAGTGGACTTGATAATTCTGGGAAGACGACGATTGTTCTGAAAATAAACGGAGAAGACACAAGTGTGATTAGTCCAACACTTGGATTCAACATCAAAACCATTGTTTACCAAAAGTAAAGCTCTCTCTTCTCTCTGCTCTTCTTAAAGTTATATGTTCTTCAGAATTGGTTGAGGAATTTCATCGAACAGGTTATAGGCAATGATGAGCTTGTGGTGAATAATGGTGTGTAGGTATACGCTAAATATATGGGATGTTGGTGGGCAAAAGACTATAAGATCGTATTGGAGGAATTACTTTGAGCAGACTGATGGTTTGGTTTGGGTGGTTGATAGTTCTGATCTTAGGAGGTTAGATGATTGTAAGATGGAACTTGACAATCTCTTGAAGGAAGAGGTATTTTCATAAATGTTTTGATTTATATTCAATCAAAAAGCTTTGTAATTTGAAGCTTGGGTAGCTGTTTTTGATGAAGAAGATGATTCATATTCAAATGTTTGTTTCAATGGCAGAGGCTAGCTGGGTCATCTTTGCTGATACTAGCAAATAAACAGGATATTCAAGGTGCACTTACTCCTGAAGAAATTGGCAAAGTAAGGGTTTCGAAACTTTTATGATCCGTATAGAAACGATTTGAATGTTGGGTTTATAGGGTTGAATCTTTGTCTCTCAGTCTTGAAAGGGTTTTCTTTCTCAACTTTAGTGAAGATTAGTGGGTTAAGTAAGATATGTTTGAGTTGTATTGTGTGTTAAACTGAGTTTCAACTTCTTGCTTATGAAGGTGTTAAACTTAGAGTCCATGGATAAAAGCCGCCACTGGAAAATCGTAGGTTGCAGCGCATACACGGGTCAAGGTTTGTTGGAAGGATTTGATTGGTTGGTTCAAGACATTGCCTCCAGGATTTATATGCTTGACTAATCGATTATTGCATCGTGCAATTGCTTGTTATATTCTCGACTGTTTGCAGTGTAAAGATGCTGCTCGATTGACTTTGTATTGGCTCTAAGGTTTTCTTTCAGTTCTATTGTAATGATGATTAGACAAACATAAATCTTAAGTTTTGAAGACAAACTCTTCTCATTTTGTTTAATTGAAAGAGACTTACCAACAAAATGATGTTGCATACATCCAAGTAAAAATTATTGATAAGGAAATCCAATCAAAATCTATCACAAAAAGATCAAAGTTGTCTCTGCAGAATAAGAGCGAAGAAGCATACAAAAAGAGAGAGAGAGAGAGAGATCATTTCGACTTCTTTCCTTGTTTCTTCTTGACGACTTCGTCAATGTACATAATGCCTTTGCCCTTATAAGGTTCAGGAGGTTTGCAACTCCTTACTGTTGCAGCAAACTGATGCACTCTTTGCTTGTCGATTCCGGTGCAGCAAACCACATTGTTCTTGAAACAGAAGACTCGAACCGCTGGAGGAACCGCAAGTTCAACTTCGTGACTGTAACCCAATTTGAGGTATAAGAAACGCCCTGCTTCCTCAGCTCTAGCTTTGTATCCAACTCCAACAATCTTCAAGAATCGAAAAAACTTGGCTTCCATTTTCCCCTTTTCCTACAGAGAATCCTGCGTACCAAAACAATGATTCTCATGTCCACACATCAAGGCAGATTCGTGTCTCTACCACTCAAAACATCACAAGGAATAGTATGGAGAATTGAAATTGACCAGCAATGGTTTCGAAAAAAAGTGTGCTTTTGCCATTTGTTTCATTGCAAACCATCTCAGAGACGTGGAAACAAGCGATGAGCTAAACAGGAAATACGTCGAACAAGTTCCGTGCAATATTACGAGAACACTAAAAATGCAAATAAACGAACATACAAACTCCAATTACCTCCATTTCCATAAACACAGTGAGTGATGGAGTAAGAAAAACACCAGAAATGAGAAATAAACACGAGAATGCTCGATTCCATTTCTACGAAATTAATCAGAACAGCGAAAGGAAAAGGAGAGGAAGAAGATAGCTGTTTTTAAATTTCCGGCGAAATTAATCATACAGAATAAGAATCGATACCTGTTTTTAAATTTCCGGCGAAAAGAAAGGAGAAATGTGACGATGCTGCTTCTTCGCCGGCGGATCCAGATCAGTCCCCTAACTCCGGCCTAAAACCTTCTCCTTCTCTTAATTTCGTTTCTTTGAGGAACATACAAAATGGTTGACGTTTTTACCACTGCAAAAAACGACACGATGTTTTTTTCCTTGATGATTTCGTTGAACAAAGCCCATTGGGCTACTACATAAAGCCCAAAAAAACGTTTCCAAATGGTTGACGTTTATTTGAGATGATTGACGTTTTTTTTAGCCATGGAAAAACGGCACGCTGTTTTGTAATCCTTGAGTGTTTCTTTGAACAAAGCCCATTGGGCTACTTCACAAAGCCCAATAAAACCTTTTTTACTTTTCGATGTTTTTGTTTCCTCGCCGCTCTTTTGACCGGAGAGCTCTAGAATCTCTCAACAATGGCGGAATCGATTTTCAGAAAGCTAAGAGATGGTGGCGAAGAAGGCGAACTCGCACCAGCTCTCACCATAGAAGAAACTGTAGCTTCCCCTTTTGGACTCGATGTCTCCGGCTATCTTCTCACAAATCTATCTTCATCAATTTTAGCTGGAAAATCCAAGTCGCAGTAAACTCTTAAACCCTAATTCTACTATATTTGATCTCTAATTGCTTCATTACTGCTAAAGTCTTCGTTTTTTTTCCACTTTGTGATTCAGAGGTCTCGTGTTGATCACATTCTCGCGGAGCCCTTCGTTTTATTTGCAATTGTTGAAGCAAAAAGGAATCGTTGTCTCTTCATCTTCTAAATGGTGATTTTTGATTTTTAGGTTTTCTAAATACTATCATATCTTGTGGAGTAGTTTGAGTGATCTTCTTTGTATTTGATACCAATTGGTTTTTGATTTGAAGGATTCGTATTTTGGATTGTTACACTGATCCATTGGGATGGATTGATCAACCTTCAACTAGTGTTAGTGAAGGTTCAAGTTTGATTAAGTTACACAAGTGTGTGAGCGACTTGAGAAAGCTTTTTTCTACAGTCATTGAAGCAGGAAGAGGTAGTTCTTTTACATTGGATTGGTTGATCTTTATCTAAAGGATTATATGAGATTAAAAGTGATTACTTTGATGCAGAGTTGGTTGGAGACGGGAAGACATGTTTCTGTGTTGCCATTGATTCGGTAAGCAAACATGAACCTAAGCTCTAGTTGTTTAGACATCAATCATCGAAAATAGAAGTGAGTATATATCTTAAATTTGTATCAGGTGAATGAGCTGCTAAGACATTCATCGATGCCATTAGTTTCTGGTCTTTTAACAGATCTTCGAAGCCACGGTAATTTGCAACATGAACCTGAGCTCTAGTTTATTAGTTTTGTTCCTTGTTAGGCTTAACAACAAAGGTTGAAATTTTTGGTGCAGCGCAAATTTCCAGTGTCTTTTGGTCATTGAACACTGACCTTCACCAAGAAAAGGTCACAAATGCGCTTGAATATATATCCACAATGAAAGCCAACTTAGAACCTTTGTGTCCATGTTCAGATGGGCAAAGGAATGCTTTAGAAAACCTCTTTTTGGTTCATCAGGATTTCGGTAAAGGACGGTTTCATGTCCGGTTTAAGCTTAGAAAGGGACGTGTTAGAGTAATGGTGAGTTCTCTCTTGCTCTGTTCTGTATCCCTTATCATTCTCATTTAGTTAACACTCTTGTAACTCTTTACCTACAGTCTGAAGAATATCATATTGATCAATCGGGAATAGTCTTTTCACCCATTTTGTCAACGGATACTGTTATTGCAACTACTAAAAGCCTTTTGCCTAAGGCAAGTTATCTAGTTCTGCTTTTTTATTTCCTGGTCTGTGTCTCTTGCTATAATGTGATCTCTTGTTTTTAAGTTGTATGGCCTAAGATGATTGTTTCTTTTGGTTCAGGTTCAATTCAATCTAACGTTGTCTGAGAAAGAACGCGTCGAGAAAGAAAAAGTTGTGCTTCCTTTTGAGCACCAAGGTGAGTGTACATAGAGTAAAACCACAGAATTTTAAGCTCGTTAACGTCTGAGATTGTGGATAAAACATTTTTGATACGGTTCTGTTCTTCAGATGATGGAAAATCGAACGAGATCTATGATGGCCGGAGATCTCTTGTGGATGGCACGATTGAGACAACACCATTGTCTTCAATGGAGTTGCACACCGATGTAGTTTCATCGGGTAAGGGTGGTGAGATTATATATTTCAGAGATTCAGACGATGAGCATCCTGATTCTGATGAAGATCCTGATGATGATTTGGACATTTAAGGTTCTTAATTTACACTTGTAAGACCAGAGAATAGCTCCAGTTTGTGTTTTGGCAATTGTTGGGATCTTAGTTAGATTTATCCAACTTTGTACGCTAAATAGAAGATTTGTTGGTTATTAGATGTGTATTACAGGTACAATTGTTACAGTAATGATCTCATCTTCTATTATTTTTGAGTTGTTTAATTGTGTTTGTTGCTGTATAATGATCATCAACAGTTCAACACATATCTATCAAATAGTAATTATGAAGAGAGATATTGCTCAGTTTTATTTTTGGATACAACATATATATATATATAGCTTTATCTTGGCCATACCTAAGGGCTTCTCCAAGGTGACACCAAAATGGTGTTTTGGTGTTAATCTTGCTCCAATGGAACTGCTCATAAAACACCAAAACACAAAAAAATATTTTCTTTGTATTTTGTTTTAAGTAGGATAATTTAGTTGTTATTTACCAACTAAAAACAAATATACCATCAATATTTTTGTATGTTTTCACTTTTAATAATATGAACTTTTAATTATAATTAATAGAAAATATTAATTTGTACAAGATATCTAAATAAATATCAAATTAATTAAGATTAAAGATACATACTAAAGTTCAATTAAACACTGAAAACATAATATAATAATAGTATTTATCAAAAATATTAAAAAAATAAAGATTAATAATGTAATAATAGATAATACTTTTTTTTACTGTAAAATTTAGTGTTGTGGTTAGAGATGAAAAAAAATAATGGGACAGATCAAATTTTGTGCTGTGGTTGGTTGGAGGCTTGGAGTTGCTCTTTCAATGGGTAACTGTCTAACTGAAGGAAAAAAAAAAAAAAAAAAACTAAAATGGACAGATCAAATTAGTAAAAAGATCAAATCTAAAAACCGAAATAAATCTGAAGTTGGTGTATATACATCTGAATTGACCAACAAAAGAAAGTAAGACTGAAATTTATTTGAAAAAGATCTTGTAAAGTCATATTATTTAATTTAGGAAATGAATGTTAAATCCTTAAAATTGTTTTGATTTCACAAATGGATAAAGAAATATTGGTTTACATACAACCTAACGTGTTGACCAGAACAAAAAATTTGATAAGAAACAATGATACCCTTTTGACCAAAGTTCTTATAGTTTTAATTATTCTTTTTTGTCATTTCTTAGTGACTAATATTAATTTAAAACTAATTTATAAATAGAAGCCCCATATATATTCTACGCCTTTATTTACAACAACAACCAAAAACATTCATTTGTCATTTTGTCTCCTCTTTTATTTTCTCTGATCAAAGGATTTTAGTTATGGCTGTATTCAGAGTCTTGCTTGCTTCTCTTCTCATTTCTCTTCTTGTCCTCGACTTCGTCCATGGCGATATGGTGGTATAATTTAACAACCAAATATATTTCTTATTTGATTATATTGTCCCTATTTTTGTCTAGGTTCTAATAGTATTTTTCAAAATATTCATGCAGGCGTCGGATAACGCCTCTAAAATCGGTAATTATACATGATATCTATCATATATACACGTTGAATATATTTTATACATATGTGTATTTATTAAATTTTTGAAATTGTATGTATTTGTAGATTGCAAGAGTAAGTGCCAAGAACGGTGCAGTCTCTCGAGTAGGCCGAATCTTTGTCACAGAGCGTGCGAAACTTGCTGCGCTAGGTGCAACTGCGTGCCACCGGGCACATACGGAAACTACGACCAGTGCCCCTGCTATGCTAACCTCACCACCCACGGTGGTCGCCGAAAGTGTCCTTAAAAACAATGTCGATGTTTGATTTGATTACGTTAATACTTAATACTACTTTGTACGAGTAATTGTTATTATTTTATATGGAAATAAAAGGCAAGCAAGAGAATGTTATACGGTTATGTGCAACTCTTAGATCTTTGTTAGTGTTTATCCAATTTGTACTTGTTGGTCTAAGAATCGGTTCGGTTCCTGGTTTAACATTTGGTCTGAAAAGTTATTGTTTTTCAATTTTCATCAAACAATTTACTATATCCACATTGAACTTGCATATAAACAAAGATTGAGGAGAAAAGTAAAAAGATTTTTTTTTTCTTTTCTTTGACTCATGGAAGAGTTAGGCAATGGCTTTAAATGGTAACAACAGAATTTTAGGGGACTAATGAAGTATAGCGTAAAACTGATAGCAATTTATGGTGGATTCTTTTACATAGCATTTGTAACGCGATGATTGTTCAATAGAATATGTAACATTACCAACAAGACCAATAAAATTAAGAACGATAGTATATGAAATTACGTTTAATGTTTCCCGGATGAATGTATTACATAAGTAACAGGACGATTTTTATTGCATGTTTGCACAAGATTATGAGAAAGGTAAACTCTATAAAGTTAATAATCTTGACTGTTTAGGCAAATAAATTCACTGCATAATCATTCATCTATATGTCATCAGCGTCAACAAGAAACAATTATAATATCTTGAACAGTCACAGAGCGTTGTAATGAAGCACATTCAAAATCGAACCAGACACAAAAGCAAGTTTACCGTCAAAAGAAATCGACTTCATGTATCAGAAACTCCCATCTTCTCTATCTCTTAAAATCCCCGGTTCCTTGCATAATCAACACTTCTAGCAACAGCAACAACACGTTAAGCCAATAGTACATCTTCCAGAGGTCATGTGTGACAATCCTATGAATCACAAAGTGCAATAAACCATCGTTGTTGCAAGTAAGAGGATAATGAAACAAATGGAAGAAGAAAATGTTTCTCCACCTTAACTTGGATACTATCCTCATTTCAAAAGATGAATTAACTTGGATTATTCTAGAAATTACTTCATATACAAAGAATGTCCAGAACTGGGTGGATTCGAACCACCAACCTCTCGTCCACCAGAAGTAGACGAGCGCCCTACCATTTTGAGCTTACAGATCTATAATAACCCTTTTTCCAAACCAGCCCATAGGCCCAACATTTAACTCTAAACACATATATACTTAAACATTGAACCCATCTTGCATTGATAGTAAACCATAAAAGAATTTCCAATTTTTGATCAAGAATAACCAACTAAATTTCATTAAAGAACTTGACGAAATTATTTATGGAGAGGTTACCAAACGTAATACAACTACCACGTGATCTCAACAGTAAAAATAAAGAAAAACCAAACTTGATTGCAAAAAGAAATTCTCAACTGAATAACGCAATGAATTGTTCCTCCACATTAAAATAATAAAATACCAAAAAATTCAATTGTAATAAACTAGGAATAGCCACAATTATTGGCTTTAGTACATAACCATAGACTATTCTTTGATCGAGATACCTTTAAGAACAAATCAACTTCAGCTCGTTGAAATTACTTCATGCCCATAACTCCAATTCCTTCATAGGCCGGAGCTTCGTACTTTCTACAGGAACCGGTGGTTACAGATATACAATCTAGAGCTAATACAAATGTACTTTCACATATGCTAAAAAGCTTAATTACAACAAAAACTAATAAACATTATAAAAGATATCTACAATATCATCAACTAATGTTTAATTCTGTTTATACTCGTCGTTAAATATATCAGCCATAACAATAATAAATTAGAATTTCCGATTTAATCAAGAAATGACATTGTGAAGCCGGATTATCATAATTTACGAAAGTGCAAGCCATATTTTAACTTCAGATCCAGAATTACTCTTGCGAATGCTTAATAACTTAATGATACTATTGAGAATTCTGTTCAATAAGTATGAGTACCTGATTTGTCTCTCGGTTTGTTGGGCAAGAAGATTTGTTATCGCCCACGGCTCCAGATTAGTCACTAGCTCTGCTTATGATCGATGTTTGAGTATGTAAGAGCAATAACTATAAAGAGAGATAAGAAGGGAGAGAGAGAGAGAGCAAGACACACACAGAGGAGAGGAGATCCCGGGGAAAAAATAATAACCCGTGCGATCTCCTCTCCACAACCCACAAAATCTTTTTTTTTTATTGAGGATCAGTTTTTGACCTGCCATGCAAGCGCACCTGACATGGCAAAGGTCGGATGACAAAAGATGCAATCAGGAAGCCATTAGCTATCCAACAACACATCTTCTACACCCTAATCTCAATTCAATCCAACACACACAGATCCGTCTCCTTGTGTACCAGAATCGACGCCTCAGCTTGATCAATTCAAAGAATCTCGCATCGGAAGAAGCCGTAAAGGACGATCCAAGGCTAGATCTGATAATCAAGAAACAATATTCGCGATTACATATCCATACTTCTAGAAACCGAGAATAAAAGAAGCTCATGATACGAGGAGATAAGATTTACCTTTAGAAAACGCCAGATCTGCGTCAGATCTAACGATGAAAGAGAAGATCCGTCATCAACCATGGAATCACCGATCAGATCTACGAAACGGTTGAGAATACGGCACGGATTTGTAGATCGGTAGGATCTGTACGAGAATTAGAAGCGAGAAGGATCAGAATCATCGCCATAGAAGCTAGATCTAAAGAAAACGTTGACGAAAGAGGGAGGAAGAAGAAGACGCGTAAGAATATGGAGGCGGTGATGAGATAACCCTAGTGACGATTCTTCTATTATATATAGGGTTGGGAAAATGGACGGTCCAGATTAAACGGTTAGATATGATCTCAACGGTTCAGATTCGAACGCGTGGGACATTGCGTGCCTTTCGCGGGTCATTATTCATTTAAAGCTAGGCGGTTTGCTTTACCAAAAAAGCAAAGGAAAGAAATTGGAAAAGAATGTTTAATTTCCTGCGTTGATTATGTCTTGTTTTGCAGTTTGCTTATTGGGCTTCATGGTCTATAAATGTTTATTGGGCTGTGTAACATTGTGGCCTTTTGACTGAGAATCAGAAGCTTGAAGACAATAGTAATAATTCTTGAAAGAACCAAAATTTCATAATTTTCAAAAGTTTTTGAATAGTGTTAACACATTGTATAGTACCTTTGGAAGCAAATGAGAACAATAACATGATTCACACACTCTTTTAATTTGCTAGAAGCAAATATTTCTTCTTCTTTTGTTTTTCTCCCTAATCTTATAACAGTTAATTATTAATGGGATAATAAATTGAAATACATTTGATTATTAAAGAGAGAAAAAAAAGAACTCGAGCTCACCACAAGCTCGTAGGGAAAAAATTGAGGAAATCTCAATAAACACGAGGTTTAGGAGGAAAAGTGTCAACCTCATCATCCAATGTATTCATGTGCACTGGTCTATACTCCAATTTCACATTCCCTTCTTCCCAATACCTTCAACATATACATATAAAAAAAAACACATACCATTAGTTACATTTCTCGATTGCTAAAACATGTACTAACAATTTTACTTTTAACTATGAAATATGAATATACTTTTGAGTGTATGATTAAATCTATTATGGTCTAAAGACTCCAAAAGAGATATAAAAGATAAAATTTTACCCCAATGTGTGCTTCATCCAATTTGCATCGTCTCGTTTCTGCAAAACAACCATACCAAAGTCTCTCATCGTTATCAACATTTTCGACTAAGACAATTTTGTTACGTAAGGAAAATAGTACTAACCGTGAAATCCTCACGAGCATGTGCTCCTCGACTTTCCTTCCTAGCCTCAGCAGAATGCATTGTTATGCACGCATTAACCAAAAGATTCTCCAACTCCATAGTTTCTATCAAATCCGAGTTCCTAAAATAAAAAGTTTCCAGTTACAGAACTTTAGTAATTAGCCTAAACATAGCTTTTTATCGTTTTAAAGTCTCACCATATCATACTCCGATCCGTCACTTTGACATCACCAAAACTGTCCCATGTCTTATCAATCAAATCACAACCTATAATCATAATCTTTTATATTAAATTCACTTCAAAACTTCTTGAGATCTTATCATAAGGTATGAGTTTCACTGTTGGAGTGTTGGTTACCTTCCTCTAGTGTTTCTTGCGTACGGAAAACAGCAGCATTGTTTTGCATTACTCTTTGCATGTTTAAGCGGATTTTAGAAGTTGGAAGTGACCCATTTGAGTTTCTTATTCGGTCCAACCATTCGATACTCTTCTCACCCGCATTCTTCTCTAGAGGTTTCAGTTTCTCGCCTAATTAAACATCGTAAAGCAGAGATCTTTCAAAGGTTCTTGCATCAAGAAGCATAGTTAGGCATATAGATATGTTGCTTACCTGGTTTTTGAATCTCTGCAACTCTGTTTGCACAAGCTCTTCCAAAAACAACAATGTCAAGAAGTGAATTTGCACCAAGTCTATTAGCACCATGAACAGATGCACAAGCTGCTTCTCCTGCAGCCATAAGTCCTGGAACTATAGCATTTGGATCATCACCTCTAACAGTAACCACCTGAGACTCACATCAATGCACCAAAATTTTTTCAAAAACAGAACATATCTATATGTTCTAACACACTAATTAAAATCGTTTGGTTCACCTCTCCATGGTAGTTTGTGGGAATACCACCCATATTATAATGCACAGTAGGCAATACAGGAATTGGCTCTCTTGTAACATCTACACCCGCGAAAATAGCCGCAGTTTCAGATATACCAGGAAGCCTCTCTTTAAGCACCTCTGGCGGTAGATGGTTTAAGTGAAGGTAGATATGATCCTTCATAGGTCCTGTTAAAGAACAAAGTTGCATATGCTCAAGCTAATTTCTTATATATGAGTCTCAAAAGAGTTATGATCTTACCTGCACCACGGCCTTTTCGGATTTCCATAGTCATCGATCTTGAAACAACATCTCTTGAAGCAAGATCTCTAGCAGTGGGAGCATATCGGTCCATGAATTTCTCACCTTCACTGTTTCTGAGAATCCCACCTTCACCTCGAGCTCCTATATGTTCAAATTTGACAAAGTTAAGAACCAATATGTTTTGTCTAAATCCTCAATGATTTGATCGTTGCAGGAAGAAACACATACCTTCAGTGATGAGACATCCGGCTCCATATATACCAGTAGGATGAAACTGAACAAACTCTAAATCCTGAAGCGGTAACCCGGCCCGTGCAACCATAGCATTTCCATCTCCTGTGCATGTATGTGCTGAAGTTGCAGAGAAATAAGCTCGTCCATATCCCTGAAGTCAATTTATACATAATGATTCATTACTGTGTGGTTTCACGAATTCAAAACATTATGCATTTTGAGCAACAAATTCTCTATACCCCGGTAGCCAATATCGTAGAACCAGCATGGAAACGATGTAAAGTTCCATCTTCCATGTTCAGTGCAATGACTCCTTGACAGGTTCCTGCTCATCATATATACCAAAAGCATTTAGAAGTTGTATAATATATATCAATTTGCAAAGACATAGAAATATTGATAATGCAACATGATGGATCATAGAAAATCTTAATCCACCATCTTATTACTTAGTAAATACTACTTACCATCACTGTTCATTATCAAATCCAAGGCAAAGTATTCCACAAAAAACTGAGTGTTGTGTTTCATTGCTTGGCCATACAGAGTATGTAACAGAGCATGTCCAGTGCGGTCAGCAGCACATGCGCAACGGTATGCTTGACCACCTGAATAAAACACAGAGATAAAGAAATAATTATGAGAAGGTTACAAGCAAGCAATCTTCCACATGAAATAAGTACAATTTCAAACTTAAGATTGCTTAAATCATCAAGAATAAAACCTTTTCCAAAATCAAGACTCTGGCCACCGAAAGCTCGTTGATATATTTTTCCCTCTTCTGTTCGAGAAAATGGCAATCCGTAATTCTCAAGCTCAATCACAGCTTTTGGTGCTTCCCTGCACATATACTGAATTGCATCTTGATCACCTATACAAAACAAAACAAAAAACACAAATTACATCTAAAAATAATAGAAACATAGACAATTAAGTAACTAGTAGAGTATCAAAGAAGTAAATTTTACTTGTGTTTACATAAGTGAAGGAAACCATATAAATGTTAGATTTCACATTAACATGTTACATCTTAAATCCAAAAACTGTCTAATGCTTTGAGTTTTTAAGTACAAAATCATCAGCATACCTAACCAATCACTTCCTTTGACAGTATCATACATATGCCATCTCCAATCATCTTCACTCATATTACCCAACGCAGCATTTATACCTCCCTTCAACAAAAGATTCATAACTTAAACTCAACAACACAGCAAAAGCTTATATTACCTTAATTACCCGATTACGCATATGTAGCTACATACCTGAGCTGCAACAGTATGGGAACGAGTTGGAAAAAGCTTAGTGATACAAGCTGTGTTAAAACCATGTTCTGATAATCCTATTGCTGCTCTAAGCCCAGCACCACCAGCTCCTACAACAACCGCATCATACGTATGATCTACGATCGTATACGATGATCTATCCCCTGTCTTTTTCCACAAAGAACACAACAAATCAAAACCAAACCAATTCACAAACGCAAGTACGCAAAATCATACCAAAAATTGTGTTCTAATCGAACATTTACACACTAAATCCGAACAAAGCAAGAAATTAGTCAACCAATGAAATGATGAGAAACGCGAAAAACTTAACGAAATCGAGGTTTCAAACAATGTGAAGATATCAATGTCTCGTACCGACGCAGCTGAGAAGAATCTGGAGAGTTGAGAAGTGATGAAAGCGCCATTAGATTCCGATCTCCTCGACGACGACGCAACTCGAAGGCACCGCCACATCTCTCTGTCCACTACTCACCACGAACTCGTAACCCAAAAAATGGAAGAAGAGTCGTTTTATGTAATTGGCTCAAATAATTTGAAAATGTCGTTGAAATTTCAAAGAAGTCTTCAACGTGCCAATTTGGCTATAAAGAATTTGAAAATGTTGATTGAAATTCCAAAATTGCCCTTAGACCTGGTAACGAGAATTGTGTCTCAACGTGCGATCAGTAATATCAACGGTCAACGAAACGCCACATCGGATGATTATGATACAGGCTTTATGAGGCCTATTAATAAGTAAATGGGCTTTATAAAGCCCAAAATGTTGCAGCCGCGGAATATTTCGGTATGCATTAGCAGCAGAAATGCATGATGCTCTTAACTTAAGGTAGTTCGTTGCTCACTCACGCCGGAGAAGACACATCGGAGATCGACGAATCGATTCTCAGAGAAAGACATAGAAATCATCTTCTGTAGTGTTATTCTGTGAGAGATTCTGGAGAGATCGGTGTTGAGATTTGGGTAAATGGAAACGAGGGAGAGAGATCTAGAACGATTGATCCCGATGCATAAATCCGGAGCTTCTCCTCGCGACGTCGTTTTGTCTGTTCCGCCGTCTCCTCTCGCTTCTCCGATTCACGTCGCCGGAAAAGAGGTCTCTCTCTCTCTTTTTTAATTTCTTAATCTCTATGGCGATGAATCGCAATAGAAACAACGATTACAGAAGATTTCTCTTATTCGCTAATTTTACACGTTTGAATCAAACAGTTTGATCAACATTGTGAAATGTTCTGAAAGTTTGACCTAGGGTTTGAAGTTACTTGTGTGTTAAGTTATTCTCTGTTTTATGTACAAATAGGCGATTTACAAAGTCATTAGAAGCTGGGCCTCCAAAAAGTTCATGACGGGATGGTAATCTCTAAGTTTCTAGAATTTTAGTCGATGAGAATGAATTTATAGTTCAGGATTGGTTTAGTACTCTCATTTCTGCTTTGAAACTGTTGTTTCAGTGTCATTCTGCTTCCAATCGCCGTCACATTCTACTTTACATGGTGGTTTATACATTTCGTTGACGGATTCTTCTCCCCGATCTATACTCATCTCGGAATCAATATGTTCGGTTAGTTTCATTTATTTATCTCTCTAGCTACATTGACATTAAACACACTTGTGTTTCTTCTGTCTAATGAAGAATATTTGCAGGTCTTGGATTTGTGACATCCATCACATTCATATTTATGGTTGGTGTATTCATGTCTTCATGGCTTGGAGCTTCAGTTCTCAGTATTGGAGAATGGTTTATCAAGAAGATGCCTCTCGTAAGCTACATCTACTCAGCTTCTAAACAAATTAGTGGAGCAATCTCACCAGGTAAAATAAATCTTCTAGTTTTACTAACCAACAAAAGTACTAAAAAGAGTAAATTATGTTAATTTCCTGTTATCAGATCAAAGCTCAGGAGCATTCAAGGAGGTAGCGATTATCAGACATCCTCATATGGGAGAATACGCTTTTGGTTTCATTACATCGACTGTGATTCTTCGAGGCCGTGCTGGTGGAGAAGAACTCTGTTGTGTCTATGTTCCCACTAACCATCTTTATCTTGGAGACATTTTCCTCATTAGCTCAAAGGATATCATAAGACCTAATCTCTCAGTCCGGGAAGGCATAGGTAACTTGTGACTTGATCTAGCAACTCTTAAAACGTTCCTGGTGCCTTAACAAGTCGATCTCATTGCTAGGATTAATCTTCTTTTTTTTTTTTTTGCAACAGAAATCGTCATCTCGGGTGGTATGTCGATTCCACAGATACTAACAACGCTGGACTCAGAGACTATTCACAGGTCGGTAGTTGGAACCTTTGCAATTCCACCTGTGTGAAGTCGATGAAATTTGAAATGGAGCTCTCTGGTTAGGTGACTTCAACGTTCGCTAATACAAGAATGTTGGAAAGTTTTGGAATCATAATCATATATGAGTAAAGAGATTCAGAGTTTGGATATGTGTTTAAGCCTAGTTTTAGCTTGGGCACACACAGGATATAAAAGAAGTTATATTTGAATTTTTGTTTTTGTACAAAATAAATTGCTTCAATAGTGTTTTGTATACACGACGTATTCTCAAGTTATTGTCTTTCACATCAGTGTGTTTAAAAATAAGCTGTTTTATAACCAGCTCAAAGATGGGCACTAGCATGATCTTTCACATATCTTGTTTTTGTTATCAAATGTTGGAAAAGGATGAGAGACACATTGATATGCAATCTTGTAGCCGGTGGATCTCTCGAAATCGTTTCAGAAGCAACCTAATCAACTAATGCTAAAATGGTGCACCAATGCCTATGTGTAACGTCAAGCGAGTGCAGAACAGAGAGACTTGTATGCATCAACGCAGAGCTTAAATTTCTCTTGTGCTGCCGCCTGAGATTTCCACCACATTACAGAAAACAATTTATCAACACATAAACTTCAACAAAAACCTGAAACAATCCAATATTTGTTATAAAAGCATACCTGAGAAGGCCCTTGGTGCTTATCGGGATGCCACTTCAACGCAGCAGATCGGAAGCTGCAAAACAAGAAAACTTCAATGAACACTCTTTTTTAGATTTTAGGGAGCATTGGAAGGAATTGAAAGACTTACGCATTCTTAACATCATCAATTTTGATGGGACCATCAAGAGGCAAGCCCAGAACAATCCTCTCTGACCGAGACCCGACGTTCAAAGGTTCATCAAAAGACTCATTATTCCAACTTTTGCTCCTTTGAGATTGAGTTGTCCAGCTCCACCCTTCTCTCCATTCAAATCCAGATGTCGAGTCTTTCGAATATGAGGCCTTCTGAGATTGAGTTGTCCAGCGCTCTCTCCATTTGTTCTCGAATGTATTATTAGCATCAGTACCAAAGTCATCATCGGGATTTCCTTCTCTGTGCCATCCTAGTATACCAAACAAACAAAAGGATACAGCAAAAACAGAGGCAAGAGTTGTGTAATACTAAGAAGAAGAAAAGAAAGCCACTCACGTTTTGTTTTCTTATCCCGAGGCTTCTTTCCCCTGCCAGGCGGAGGTTTTTTCTTCATATGCCTATCCCGGATAAGCGGATTTGGCTCGAAATGCCACTCATTCTACGTATACAGTACATATAAACACTTGAGCAAACACATCCTAAAAACCAGAACTCTATGTAACAAAAATGCCATGAAGAATTCACCTGAAGCGGATCATTAATTCCCCTGTGGAAAAGGAGTTTATCCACAGTTTTCTTCGCACTAGTGCGACCCTTCTCCTTTACAGTACATGTGAATCTTATGGAAGAGTTCTGGGATCAACATTCACAGCTTCAGAGGAGAGAACTAACTCTCTTATAACTATAACTTTGAATATATATACATAAACAAAGGACCAAACACACACGCACAAACACTAAAAATCAAATTCATAACAAGACAAACACAAGTTTTAACATGAACTCATCAATGCGGATTGCATTTCTACTAACAATCCAATCCTATCTACATGACCAAATCATGTGATCCTAGACTTCAGGGTTGTTGATAAATAATTGATTTACACAAAACCCATGTAACAATTCGATCAATGCATCAACCAAAGGATTCTTACTCAAAGTTTCTTCTTTCATGTTGCTCATAAAAATTTTACCTTTGAAGATCGTTCGCCTTCAGAAGCTCTTTCCTGTAACCAAAATTAATCTAAGATCATTAAACATCTAATTACAGATTCAATGAACGATGAAGCTAATCTTTGCAGAGGAAGATCTTACAGAACCAAAGTTATTCCTCGATTTCTCAGACAAAACACTCGTCGAATGAAATGGAGCGAAACGAATTGCTTCTGTTGCGTTTGGTGATGACAATTCTACAATCGAAGAACTTTTCAGCGACAAGAGACTTCTCAATCTTAACATAGTTGGATTCAACAGAAAAAATGTAAACTTTCAATAAACAATTCAAAAGGTTTAAACTTTCATTTGACCCGAACAGAGAGATTTGAGGAAGAAATGGGAGAGATGACGGAGGAGAGGAAAGGTCGGCGTCACACGCGAGGGTTTTTTAACCGGACCGGTTTAATTGTGACCCGATATAGTCTGGTTTGAGTTCGGTTTAATTCGGTGGATTACGAAAACAGAGGAAAAACAGAGCATGTAAAGGACTAAGAACATCATAAAGCCAAAGATGAAAAAGCTTGTCACTTTGATTATGAATGTAGTAGATAAAATCCAAAATCAAACATTAGTAGTTTCATGTTTGAGAAATTGAATCAAATCTCAATCTGTTTCAGAGAATCATACACATACGTAACGATCTAAACGTAACACAATTTAGTCGAAAAAGTATAAAAAATCCAATCAATGAAGCAATGACAATGCTTTTGCTTTAAAGCTTACATTGGCTCTACTCTCAGAACCACCAAAATCTCTTCTTTATAGAATCATTGATTCAATCTCATTGAGGAGGAGCAGGGCTTTTAGTTCCCATCTCTCGAGAATCATTACTAGATGTTCCTTCACAGTCACTGATTGGGAATTCTTGGCTCGATAAAGCTATTTGTCTGAATTTCTTCATGTCTGCATTGTAAGATGTCTGACTATAATCCGAGCTTGTTCCCGATGTCCCGTAAACGTTACTGTGTCCTGGCTTCACACCTTCGTTTAAAGCATCTAAGGACACTTCTCCTTCTAATGCTCTTACTATCTGAAAACCACAACATTTTTTGTTATTATCTGAAAACAAGACAGGAAATTTTGGGGTAGCAATTTTGATTCACCTGGCTCATCTTTGGACGTTTACGCCCGGAATGACGAATGCTAGCAGCGGCACAAGTCACCATTCGAGCCATTTCTTGCGGGTTGTAGTTGCCTTCAAGCCTTGCATCTGCGAGCTCATTAAAGTTTCCATCTTCTAGCGCGCGAGCCATTAGAGGCCGAGCCTGTATTCATGATCAATAGTGATCATTACTACGCGAAAAAGGCGAAAAACATATTTACACAATACATATGTTACATGCATACCCAATCTACTAAGGTGTCGTCCATGGTGCTGCTATTATCAACCGGTCGTTTTCCAGTGATCAGTTCCAATAACATGACGCCGTAAGAGAAAACATCGGATTTCTCTGTTAATTTACCGCTTGATGCATATTCTGGAGCAAGATATCTACAAATGTTTGTGGAGAGAAGCAAATTGGATTAGTCTACAAAGGTTGTGTTTCTTGAGTGGCGTGAACAATCTTATCATACGGTAAAACGCTTACCCGAAAGTTCCCATCACACGAGTAGATACATGAGTGTAGTTATCAGAAGTTAACTTAGCCAATCCAAAATCAGCAACCTGAATAAACAAATGCAAAATGTCATCAATGTCGTCTTAACAAAAAACCGTAGACGAATGCAGCTACTAGTTTATCACCATTGCATCAAAGTTGAAGTCCAAGAGAATGTTTGCAGACTTGATGTCACGGTGAATGATCCGAGGATGGCCTGCACCATTTTCTCAGCCAAAAAGAAATCACTAGTCAGAGACAAAGCTTTCTCTGTTTATGCAACATAATTGGTTAAGAAAATGAGACTGGTGAATGTTAAAACATACAGTCTTCATGAAGGTAAGCGAGTCCTTTCGCAGCACCTAAGGCGATACGCAATCTAGTGGAGAAATCCATTACCGGAAGATTTTTCCCTGCAACAACAACAACAAATTAAGGTTACAACTTTCTTGAATCTATAGATTAAAGAAAATAAACTTTGTGCTAAAAGTTTTAAGTGGTGTAACCATGAAGATGATATTCCAAAGTATTGTTAGGAACAAACTCATAAACCAACATCCTCTGTCCATCAGCTATGCAATATCCAACCAAAGAAACAAGATACCGGTGATGAACACGGCTAATGATATCGACCTCAGCTTGAAACTCCCTCTCTCCTTGTCCGCTACCTGCTTTTAAACTCTTAACCGCTACTTCTTTCCCGCTAGGCAAAACTCCTTTATGGACATACCCGAATCCTCCCTGTCCCAAAAGGTTAGCATCCGTAAACCCTCCCGTTGCAGCCGCAAGTTCTTGGTAAGTAAAAGTACTCTTATTGAATCCGAGGGCTAGAGCAGGCGAAGGAGGAGGTAAAACCGGGCGTGATGGGCCTGAGTACAAGGCAGAATCTTCTCCGCTTGTAGGCATCCGCGGGGGAGGAGGTGGTGATGGTCCACCGCCTCCCCAACCACCAGTAGATTGTTGGTTTTGGCCTTGTGCATTCAGGTGCCAATTTGGATAATTCTGTGAAGCATTGTTGTTGTTGTTGTTTCCATAGTATTGATATTGATTTCCTGAGATGTTATGAAACAATCTAAGCTTTTTATATTTTGAAACATAAAGTGTGTATATGTTTATACCTTTCATGGATTCAGGGTAGAAGGAATCTTTTCTCTTCTTTTTGCGTCTAAGACAGACAATAATAAGAACGATCATCAAAAGTCCAGCTCCGACTAATACACCAACTATGATCGCCGTATTCGTATTACTTCCTCCTCCTCCACCTCCACCTCCTCCACTGCTTCCTCCGCTGGTACCTCCGCTAGAAGGAGGATTGTCCGAGCGAGAGCCTCCAGTTTCTCCTGGTGGAGATGATCGGCTACCACCATTATCTCCATTACTCCTAGAAGGAGGAGTGCCACGTGACGGTGGAGAATCATTGCCACCACTGTTTCCTCCATTTCCTCTTTCTCCTCCACTACCTTGTGACGGTGGGGAAGGTGAATTATTAGAGGAATTAGGAGGAGAAGGAGCTTGTGGAGCTGGTGGAGATGTGGAATCAGGAGGAGGAGACGATGATGAGTCTCCTTGAGGAGGAGACGGAGCCGGCGGAGAAGAGGTGGTTGAATTGGTATTAGACGGTGGAGATGGAGAAGAGCTGGAGTTTGTTGGAGGAGGAGCAGATTCAGGAGAAGAAGCCATCGGAGATCAAAATTTTCCGGTAACGAAAATAAAAACTCTCCGTCTTCTCTCCCTTAACCACTCAATTATTCTGAGAAGAACAATAACAAAACGTAGAAAAAACAGAGCATAATCAAAATGGTATTAATTTTGGAACAAGTTCTTGTCTTATTATGTTCGTTAGATCGTTAACAAATTAACAAACAGGTAATGCTAAATTTAAGAGATTAATACAAAATTAGTTAAGAGATTAGCATGAAAGTGTGTACCTTAGAGGAAGAGATTAAGGGGAGAGAGTTTTTGAAAATTTGGTCAGAAAATGATTATAGGAATAAGGTGAAAAAGGAAGATTGAGATTTGCTCTGTCTTCATTCCGAGAAACATGCCTCTTCTCTCTCTCTTTATGTCTTAATAACAGTTTTGTGTTAGTTACTAATTGTAATAATCTCGGGTCTAATTTTTCTCTTTTTGGCTCCGTGATATTAGGAGCGAAGGATTGTTGATTCAATACCACGTAACCTCATGCATTCTTACCTTTGTTAGGAAAATCTCTGGTTTAATCTGGTCCGTCGGATCATATCATTGCTCCTCAGATCTTCCCATGTAGATTTGACAATTTAAATTAAAGAAAAGAAATATAGTTTTTGTATTATTTTATAAATTAATTTTAGTTGATGTTTTTTGTATAAGTTAATTGGTTTGGTGTACATAAAAACTTTCCTTTTTTTCGTTTGAAACAAAAGATATATGATTTAAGACTTTTAATCAAAAAAATATATGTAAAGAGGTTTATGTATATATTCTAAAATAAACATTTCTCATTATTACATGGTAAAAATGTGATACAAGACATCAAAGGGATCTTGAAGCATTTATTCACTTGTTGTTTCTCTTCTACCTTGACAGGATTCCAACCAAATACTATACACTTCAGAACTAGAGAATCGCCACATCAACAAACTGCATATAAGAGTCACTTTGCAAAAGGGAGAGATATTGTGCATGAGGAACCAACCGAATTATGTTTAGAATGATAATCCATTATTGTCAAATATAGAAGTGTGTAACCTTTAAGCCTTAAGATAGGCTCCAAACTTTGTTATATTTTCTTTTTTTTGTCAACTATTTTATATGTTTCCATGCCCGTGATAATAAAAACTTGAAAAATGGAATACACTCAAATAACAATTAATTGTATTGAGTAAACAATAGTAAATTTTAATTAAGAAACTAGGATGTCAAGATTACTATTTCTGTATGTTGGTGGCATGGAAGGTTACTTTAGGATCTTAGTAGGAATAGTCTCACGTGTTGCGAGAGTTTAAAGAAATATAGTAAATTGAACCTATTGAATGAATTTGATTTTCTTATATAGATTTTTGTTTTAGTATTTATTTATTCAAGTTTGATAAACTACATATAAATTTGGAGAAACTGTTATTTGGTACATAGCGCTTATATCATATTGTTTTTCACTTACATATTTTATATAGTCTTTCGCTTACATATTTAATATTTTCTTCATCTAAAAAAACAATAAGACCAAATTGTAAACTATAACATTGATTATCGTACTCAAACTTGAAGTCTTGTGTAAATGGACAAATTCAAAAGCATTATTATATTTTCGAGAAGAATAGTTATTATGAAATTCATTAGCTTTTGATTCTTGATTAATCACATATCATTTTTTACACTTACATTGATGAGCCAATATTTAGATCTTCGATGGTCTGATTTCATAATCACCATAAAATTCATTTTTTTTTATTTACTCATACAAGTTTAAATAATATTTCATAGATTCTTCAGAGTTTTGTATCACAACAACATGGTCGGTTTTTTTATCTACATATAATAATAGTACTAATAATATTTATAAGAGCAAATGAAGATTCTCAAATTTTATGAAAAAGGAATTATGATGGTTGTGATTTTTTTCTATATAGAGGTATGATATGAGATGCGTTTTTCTACGTATCAACAAAATTTGATTGAGAATTGTTTTTGAATTTAAATGTATAAAAATTATATGTATGATGATGGGGTAAGGCTTTCTCATTTTGTAAACTCAACTGAAATTAATTGTAAGAAAAAGGGTTTATTTATTTATTTAGGATTTATTTTCACCATCAACATTTTATTGTGACAATTGGTTTTAGATTTGAGTATCTTAAATATAAATACATATGATGATGGGGTAAAATATAGAATAAAAAAGTTCTTATTTATTTATTTGGGTTTATTGTTTTCATTGAAATTTAACTAACACCATTTTTATTTTTATTCAAATGTCTAAAGAAGTAAAGGTCTAAAGAAATTAATGTAGGATGATGATTTAAATGAATAAAGAAGCCTAATCTACATCATCCAATCTATTTTTGGTTTAGATTAGATAACAAAAGTTAGATAACATTAGATAACAAAAGGGATTAAGCATCCAGTCTATTTTTGGCCGTGCATAGCACGACCGACAGAACTAATAATAAAAATATTTCACGTGACAATAAACAAATTGTATTCAAAACTTTGAAAATAATATCAAATATTTAATTCAATTATTATCTGCATCATCCTTAGTTCTTTATAAAAACACATCTTATAATAGATGCCAAAAGATGATGTGGTTTTCAAAATTTAAAATGCTTATCCTCCGCCAAATATATGTGCCAGCCATTTGTCTCTCAAGAGTCTCCCTATCATCGGCCAAATATCAAAACTGCATCCCAAACTACATCTCAAGGTCCTGCCTCACATTATCTGCTCGTCTTTCGGTACGCGACAATGTTGGAAATAGCAAAAAAAGTGCTAAGAAATCATCATTAAGAATCCATTAGAGATATGATCTCTTTTTGGTTCTGTTCCTAATGTTCTTACACTTTCAAACATATGTCACTTCATTGGCAATACTAACTATACAAATATATCACGCGGCAATAAACAAATTGCATTCAAAATTTTGGAAATAGCATAAAATATTTTATTCAATGATTATCTGCATCATCCTTAATCCTCTACAAAAAAGAAACACCTTATAAGAGATATGCCAAATCATGTTGATGTTTTAAAATATATGCCAAATTAATTTTACATAGTCATGATAATCTAACCTAATTATTGACTCTCTTTGTTTGAATCTCTAGTCCTTCGCAATCACCACGAGGACCTCCACCACCAAAAAGCTTCTCCATCTCCTCCAATGGCAATCCTTTCGTCTCCGGCAACATAAAGAAGAAGAACCACCATGCTGCCACCGCTATTCCGGCGAATACGAAGAACACCCCCCCTGTCGTGATCGCCTTCGTCATCGACAGAAAACTCATTGAGACCGTCGCGTTCATGATCCTATTAACCGCAACGCCTATGCTCGCTCCTTGAGCCCTAAGTCTCAACGGGAATATCTCAGAGCTATACACCCACGTGATAGGCCCAAGCCCGATAGAGAAAAACGCTACAAATGCATACGTAGACACGATACTTAAACTCAATGCCCACGCTAACTGCCCAAATCGCTGAACCATCATGAGACTAACCGCTAAACTGGTCAGTGCGAAGACCATCCCACCCGTGCTGGTCAATAGAAGCTTTCTCCGACCTACCTTGTCTAGCAAGAAAGTAGCTATTATTATGAAAAAGGCCTTAGTTAAACCTACACCGACCGTGGCTAGTAAGAGCTTGTCTTTCGAAACAACTCCGGCTTTCTTGAAAATTCTCGGGCTGTACAACACGACGGCTTCAATTCCCGTGGCATGCTCGAAAAAGTGTATCCCAACGGCCGCTATCAAGATCAAACGCACGGCAGGTCGCGGTTTTATCACCAACTCCCTCCAAACACTTTTACCGTGATTCTTCTTAACGGCGCCACCAACTGCTTTTATCTCTATCTCATCTATTTCCGCAGCGGTTAAGATGTCTCTGAATCGTTCTTCGGCTTCTTCTTCTGTGTTGGATACCAAAACCATTATTTTCTTGGCTTCTTCTAACCTACCTTGCATCACAAGCCACCTCGGCGACTCAGGCATTCTTGTAATCCCAAAAGCCAATATCAAAGACGGGAACGCTGCGATTCCAAGCATCAATCTCCATCCAAGCTTCAAAGTCAATTTCCCAAAACAGTAATTCGAGACATAACCAAGTAAAATCCCAAGACTAATACAAAGCTCAGGTAGAGAAGTAAGAAAGCCTCTGTGTGAAGCAGAGGATATCTCGGCAGAGTAAACCGGAGCTATCATGAGAGCAAACCCTACACCAACTCCGGCGATACATCTACCGACCATCAAAACGGTGTAGTTTGGGCCGTAACCCATAAGAACTGAACCCACTAAGAATATCACGGCGGAGAGAGCAATGGTGTAACGTCGGCCGATGACGTCAGACGTTTTCCCTGCCGTTAGTGATCCGACGAGGGCACAAAGATTCAAGATTCCGGCCAAAACTTCGATCTGAGTGTCGTTTATTTTCAGATCCTCTCTTATAAATATCTGAGCTCCGCTCATAACTCCCGTATCTAAGGACAACACACAATTACAAAAGAAAAGAAAAAAAAGATTCGTTAATATAAAATAATAAATATAATTCCATTGAATATATATTTATATGATATGTAGAAAATGTTTACCATATCCAAAGATGATAGAAATGATGGAAGCAACAATGGCACACCCGCAAGCGAACTTGTTCATATGAGTGGGGTTTTGATCCGACCCGGGAAAATTATGAACATCAGCATGAACCATGGTGAATCTTCTTTCTTTGTTGTTGTTGTTGTTGTTGTTGTTGTTGTTGAATTTTAGGATAGCTTATTATATGGATTATGTGCCTTTCATAGTATATATATACACATAAATATATATGTCCACCACTTGCATCTATAGTGGAAAATGATGATCAAAAACTTCCATTGTTCCACAGTGTTCGTGGGTGCCCACGTAGTCTGGTACGAGAATTAGATTTATGCGAAATATGATACTTGATTTATGCATAATCCTTAAGATTTAGACTTATATATATACCTGAGAAGTAGATCGAGCAAAAAATTGAGCATTATTAATTCAGACAACAACCAAAAAGATAATCTTGTCATCAGGGAAGTGTTTTACGAATACAACTATTTTAATTATCACATAGATAAATGATGAATAACTATGAATAAATAGGGAATAACCATATATTAACGACTAACTATTAATATTATGGTACTTTTACGAAAGAAAATAAAGTGGTATGTGTAATATTTCTGGAATTCTTATAGCCTTTATACAGTTGATTTCTGAAGGACGTTGTCGAGAATCTCGAGATGATCCCAAATGATTTTATAGTAGTTTTATAAGATTTTTATTACAGCTTAAAAAACAATATGTAATAAGTAGTAATTTTTAGAATATATATTTCTATTAGGTTCATTAGTTATTCGATAAAAGTGTAAGTTAAAATTTTGGTCTTGCATATGTTAGGTATAAAGTTGTTCTCGTGACCATGATGCATGTAAATCGTATGTCGTAAACCCGTATATTTTAGCAAAACGTTTCCGTCGTGAAGTCATATATGTGAATTCATTCATTATATACAAGAAGAAGTTATATCCACCATTTTTAAATAGTAGGTCATCAATTTTAATACGATAAGATCAAAAATATATCTAAGAATGATATAAAAATTGTAAACTAAAAGTCGCTATCTCCTTCACTTTCGGCATTTTCCTAATCTATGTTTTTTTTTTTTTTTTTTTTTTTTTTTTTTTTTTTTTTTTTTTTCTTTTCCTAATCTATGTTGAATAATGGCGTAACCTTTAAAGATTCTTTTCCACATTTATATAATCTGGTGAACTAAATCTATACGGTGCATATTGAGGTCTAAATTTATAAACTTGCTACAAGATGCTATTACGCCTCGAGTACGAAAATTAACATTATGTTGGTGAACTACGTTTGTTTGTGTTCCTTGTATTTATGTTTAATCTTTTTTTACATTCGCTATAATAAATTGGTATCATAACTTCACATTTTAGACATGCTTTTGTAATCTGGTAAACAGACAAAAGAAGCAAAAAAATTTACTGGGAGGAACACGTCATGGAAGGTCGGTCACAATGAAATCTCTCATGTATTTTAGAAAGACAAAAACTTATTTCAAATTATATTTTTTTATTTTTTCTACAAAATCTACGAAAATCAAGTAAGATATATTATAAAATAAAAACAAAAATATACAAAAATAAAATAAAAGATGCCTAAATAATACTTAGTAATTTTTTATAGATCTCTAAATCTGTTAAAGTAAGTGTTTACACATTTGATAAAAGAAATAGTATAGAATTACATAAAAAGAAACTTAATTTGGATAGTCATTTTTTTTTTTGGGCAAAAATATGGATAGTCATCTAGTATCTATGTAATAGGCAAAAAACGCTAACCCTGGGGATCTGTATACATCATTTATACAAATGCACAAACCCATGAAAAAAGTAAACTTTTGATTTGATTCCTTGAAAGTTAGATTTGGTGAGCTACAAAAGAAATATACGTGGCGAAAAAATAGCTTTGATTTGATTTCTTGAAGAACATACTATAATGAATAACTTAACTCAAATAAGATTCAACGCACACGGACTAACGATCTTTAATCCAAAAAACTTTGGTTTAAAGGCAGAGAATCGATAGACTAGCTAGGACTGATCAGATTAAAATCCTCGAACCAAAAAAAAATTCCTCGAACCAACATCCATGCTGAGTTTTGTTTAGTCCGAACCTTGACATACATTCTAGTCCAAAGCTGATTGGCATACACATCGTGTGACAAAATCAACAAGACAGATCAATCATTTAGGTCAATCATAAAAGAAGAAATCTTCTCGAAGAAGAGAAAGAGAAATTCAAAGTGAAATTGTGTGTATTAGTGGGATACATTAGGCCGACACAACCAGAAAGATAAATTTGGGGACTTTCCGATACAATTGATAACTTGGGTAGGTTAGATCATCATGTGGGTAGGTCTTATTTATCTTTACTTTATTCGAAAGTTTCACCAAAAAAAAAAAACACATATTTCTTTATTTGCACCATGCATGTGCTTAAAATAGCTTTTATTTTGTCAAAATTATCGTAATTTTTAACTGAACCATTAGAACATGTTTTAAATCTTTCTTTTAGATTACTAAAATTGATGACCCCGTCGAATCACTAAAATGCATGTTAATTTTCTTTTTTCTACGATTTTGGTAAAATGCATATATTAATCATTTTAGTGATTAAAAAAAATATTAGGAAAAAAGTGATACTAGAAAAGAAAGAAAAATTCATCACTGATATCGACGAGAAGTGATTATCAAGTTCTTGATTAGATGAAATTTTTTTTTTGTAAGTTTTTCTGGTTTTTCGAAAGCAAAAACTTTGTAGTTTTAAGATTTTCTACTAGAAGGATAAACGTAAGACAAAAGACACATCCAATTAGATGTGTTCACGTCTTTCTAAGATTGATTTACTTCATTAGTTGTTTATAACTGCATATTCAATGTATCATAACTTATGTAACAATTGAATTCATATTGAGTATACATGTACTTGAGCATTACTATCACTAACTGTAATCTTCTAAAACTATTGTTTTGTCAATTGTCATGGTTGATAAATTGTAGTGTTTGGTTGAAGTTAGAAATTTAATTTTATAGATCTTGTCAACTATCTATTCTTTGTTTTATTTTTATTTTTAATGTTGGTCATTTATAAACTTTTCATTAGTAAGAAAATACAAATTTTTGTTGATTTTGAGATGATTCTGCAGCCCTTTTTAAGATTTAGTTACAAAAATATTGTAATGTTTTTATGGCTGGTATGTAATGATTTAAGGGGACAAAGTATTGTAAGTGGGAGGAAAGTGATGGACGCAATTCAGAATGTAACGGAGGCCATTAAAATTGGCCAAACTATTTGTTGGTACGATTTTTTGTGGCATGGTGATAAAGTTCTTGAAAATATTGGGACTCGTTTTTGTTCCTTTTTTTGTGTGTTCGTGTAAGAAGTAAGAACACACCTATGAATAACATATTTATATGTGTCCACATTATGTGGCAGTAATTTGTTGGTAAGAAAAAAAAAAAAATTGTTGGTAAGATAATATTCTCATAAAAATAGCTCAGTAAGAGATTTCAAAAAGTAATTTCTTCGTAGTTGATGTAGAAGTTTTGGTTCAATCCGTATAAGCGTTTTCAAATATTTTGAAGGAATTTAGTTCAAACCGAAATGTTATTTTGGATGAGTTCAAGGTAAAGAGGAAAACAAAAATATCCATAACAACAACCGGTGGAATAAGACTTGTGTATGTGTCTTCGTGCTTGGTCGGTTCTCAAAATTTATTTGAAACCTGAATTAATGGAACTTAAAGATTTTTTGGTTCGGTATTTGGACCCAAATTACCCAAAAACCTGAAACAATCATGTGTATTGTTTCCGATTTTATGAGTATCCGTTTAGATTTTGGATTTTTCAAGTATCTGTTCAAGTTTTGGGTTTATTTGGATATTCATTCGGATTTTAGATCTTACCAGAACCGAACCAAAATCCAAAAATAAATAATTTAAATCCGTTCGGATAATATTGACTATCCAAAACCAAACTGAACCGGGTTTCTTTGGCTGGATTCGGATCGAGTTTTTGGATTTTTTACCCATGCCTACACACAATGGTTGACGTGGCTACACAAACTTATACAATCCTCTAACTACACAAACTTAAGACGTGGCTAGTGGCTACACAAACTTATATAACTCATCTCTAAGCTACATCTATTATCTAAAGGACCTCTTCTGGTGGTTATTAGTGTAGTTTAGAGATGAATTATAGAAGCTTGTGTAGTCTTTAAAAGAGGTCAAATTTTTTATCTAGTTAGATAAAAAATTATATCATATAATAGAAAATGTGAAGTTATGTCGTTAATTTTTTTCCTTTTCAATTAATTTTCCAAGTTAGTTATTTCTAAACTATCATAACTCATAAGTGATACAGATACTCGCACGTACATTGATTTTTACTGCCAATAATATACTAGATTTGATTTAGCACTAAATATACGTAAAACTACTTATAGATTTTGGTTGGGTGAAATAAAGATCGTATCTAGAAAACTAGTAAATGATGAATTCATTTGTTACATAATCATTCGTGCTTATAGAAAACTCACATCTTTTCACACAAAGAGAGCTAGTAGATGGCTAAAACATTAAGTTCACCGTTTTTCATTGATCATTACGTAGATCTTATCTTTAGTACATAAGATATTTTTCTTTATATGAGAGTTTACTATGTCCTAAATACGGTATCACTTAGTCTATAGAAACCAGACTTTAGATTATGACTAGTCAACTATATCCTAAATTGTATCTCTAGCTCTCTCCTTATAACTTTAGATTATGATTTATACTAGCTTAAGACTCTTCACACAACGGCTCTCTTGTTAAACTTAAAGTTTATGTCCATCCTTATTCCTATATCTTATCTTTTTGTGTGATCAATCTCTAACTATTATCGCGACACAATCATCCATTTGTGAGCTAAGGTTCTATATAT